CCATGGCTGTCTGCCACTGAGAGGAGTACACACCCGTGATCGCCTCTGCATAAGAGCGCGGGGTGGGGATGTCAAGTGCATCCGCATCTCCCTTAGGGCAAATTAGCATGGACGCGAAACAAGGTAAAGCAGCCGCGAGACACTCAAGCTCAAACTGCCTGTCCTCAAGGACGTCACAGCTAAGGGCAAGCTCATCCCCGACGGATGGAGGACAGACAGACTCAGACTCAGTAACAAGGCTTGCGACGTAGTCGAGATGACTCCTAGCAGCAAAGTCGACTTGCTCAGTGGCTATGGCAACGCAGCAATAGACTCAAAGTCGGGGTCGGTGACGACAGTAGCGAGGAGATGAGTGCGCGGCACAGTACCCGTACCGTCAGTCGCTCTAGCAGCTCCAGCTCCAACACGTCCAGCACCAGCACCTCCGGCAACTGTAGCACCCCTAGAACCAACGGGACCTCCAGCACCAGCAGCTCCAGTACCTCCAGCACCTCCAGCACCAGCACCTCCAGTACCTCCAGTAGCTCCAGCACCTGCGGCACCTCCAGCACCAGCACCTCCAGCACCAGCAGCTCCAGTACCTCCAGCACCAACAGCTTTAGTACCTCTAGTACCAGCAGCTCCAGCACCTCCAGTACCTCCAGCCGCTCCAGCACCTCTAGCACCAGCAGCTCCAGCACCTCCAGCACCAGCACGAGCACCTTCGGCACCAGCACAACCAGCGGCACCTCCAGCACCAGCACCTCCAGTACCTCCAGTAGCTCTAGCACCTCCAGCATCAGCAGCTCCAGTACCTCCAGTACCTCCAGCTCCAGAAGCTCTAGCACCCCCAATTCCAGCGGCACCTCCAGCACCAGCACCTCCAGTACCAGCAGCTCCAGCACCTCCAATACCTCCAGTCGTTATAGTACCTCAAGCACCAGTAGCTCTAGCACCTCCAGTACTTCCAGCCCCAGCAGCTCCAGCACCTCCTGCACCAGCGGCACCTCCAGCTCCAGCACCTCCAGCACCAGCAGCTCTAGCACCCCCAGAACCAGCACCCCCAGAAACGGCACTCCCAGACTCAACACCACCAGAACCACCAGAGCCCACAACGACAAGCTGTGGAGGCGGCGAAGACGGCCGAGGCAGAAAACCAGGAGGGGTCTCCAAAGCGCAGGGAGCGGCGAGTGGCCGCCGTGTCGTCAGCCGCGGGGTCACCCCCCTCAGCTGGGCCAGAGGAGTCAAAGGACCAAAGGCTCAAGACGTCACGTTTGACCAAGGAGACGAGAGTGCATGCCACGCAAGCGCGGCAAGGAGGGGTGACCAAGACGGTGGTGCGAAAGGAGGGTCGGGTGCGAGAGTAGCCGGCACGAACAAGACGCAGCGAACTGGCTCGACGCAGCTACCTGACCTGACGCAGCTACCCGACCTGACGCAGCTACCTGACCTGACGCAGCTACCTGACCTGACGCAGCTACCTGTGCGGACTCAGTGGTCAGTGTGTACAGGCCAGACCCAGGCCTCCGAGTAAAAGTGGTGAGGTGCTCGCCAGTGCGTGACTCTGTACAGGTCGCCACAAGCTCACCCCCAGGAGTAGTCATTGTGACAAACTGGTCCTGGAGGACAGCATTTCTCACCAAGTTCTTAGAGAATGAGGGAAGGTGGAAACCTATGAGGGAGCCTGAGGGGGCTGCCAAACACGGGAGAACGGTGGAGGCACGTGCTACGACTGGGCCCCCAGAGGGGTCAGCGAGACTGACCGGGACAGGTGCACCGAGCGGTGTGACTGTGGTGCAGTCACGGAAGAAGCAACGAGTCGCGCCTGAGTCAAGCGTGAAGGTGTGTAAAGCCTCCACATGTGCTGTAATAGTGCTACCAGGCTCACAGGCACCTAGACTAGAAACCTCTGAACCACCAGGGAAATGTCGCTGAGAAAAACACTTCCTAAGCTGCTGCGGCGAGGGAGTCTCCCGTTGACTCTGCTGCCGCTGCTGTAAAGGCTGGGTGGCAGGAGAGAGGGAGGAATAGTGTCTAACAACAGCATTGAACAAAGCCTGGGCCGACGTCACCTGTCGAAAGTGGTCCCTCTGGTCGACCAGCAGGAGAGATCGGACTGCACGCTGGGCAACAGCGTCGCGCTCCGTCCACTGTCTGTAGGCGAGGATGTCCGCCCGTATCGCCTCTGCACCTCCTCGTCAGCGTCAGCAGCAGGCTCAGTGGGAGTCGTAGGGGCCGGAAGTGACCCCGAGGTGTGCCCGAGTAGGGAGACGCCATCTCGGAGGTAACACTGGAGATGCAAGCGCAGGCACATAAGCCAGAAGTCGAACTGGTACGGGAGTCCGTCGGTGTCAAACGGTAAGACTGGTGGCGTTGCCATGAGTGTAGCCATCGTTAATAGTAGCAGTAATGATTGCAGCAGTAGCAGCGGCAATAGCAGAAGCAGCAGTGCAGCACGGCGCGGCTCGGCAGGGCGGCGCGGCTCGGCAGGGCGGCGCGGCTCGGCAGGGCGGCTCGGCTCGGCCGGTGCGGCGTGGCTCGGGCGGTGCAGCGCGGCTCGAGCACGGCGGGGCAGTGCGGCGCTGGCAGCAGCAGCAGCTGCAGCGCGGGCAGGGCGCTGGGCGGGCAGAGCGCGGGCAGGGCGAGCCAACATCCCCTCCAAAAAAGATAATACCCAAAACGAAACTGGAGGCATTTTCGGATGAATCAACTCTAAACACAACTCGCCATGTGTTTAGGGTTGATCCGTTCCCAAACCGCATCCGATTCCGATTGGGATATAGTTTTCTTAGAAGTTAGCTGATTGGTTGGGCACGAGCAGAAATTTTGTAGAGTTTTAAGATTTTTTTGCAGGAGTTACATGTGTGACCATTCGCGTGATTTCTTACCTGTTGTTAGAAACTGAATCCGTGACCCCACTTACCAAACCCGTCAGCGAACCCGATACAGTGACCGTACACGTTAATTTATTACTATTCACGTATCAAGTCCCATGTTGGTCACTTCTGACATATTTTCCCAAAGACAAATGTGCCCTGAATGCAATATGAACAATGAGGGCGGGTCCAGCGCATACGTTTTCCGTACATTACAGTTCATCCAGTGCAGTAATCTGTATTGCGTCACGGTTCAAAACGGTGCAATTGCAAAACCGTTGTGCACTGCCTAACATATTTTCAAACCACTACGAATGAACTGTTGTTAGAGGGGTGTTTACTGTTCCCTTTGAACAGTACTCCCAACTAGGGCCTCAGATTGGTTTTTGTGTACCCTGAGCACTCAGTGTCCGTAGGAGGGTAACACTGATTTTCAGTGTCGTCTAGTGTGAAACACTGAATTTACAGGGTTGTTAGAAATAAAACGCTGATCAATCAGGGTTTCTACAACTTCAACACTGATCAGCATAGTTGCTTTACTGGTATGCTGTCATAACACAGCGAATCAGACTGCCCTCACTTTACAATTCCCAAATTCGGCCAGGATTCTGCTATTTCCGTGTCTGATTGGTCAGAAATCTTGTCTGACCAATCAAATAGGACAATTGTTAAGAATTGTTTCTGATCTCTGGTTGTGTACTTGACTGATGATTCGGACTTGGTTCGTCACAGCAGATTCGCCCTGACGGCAAATTCGACCTCGCACAGTCGTTACGCGCTGTCGCAGCACAGCAAATTCGCCCAATCACAGCAGATTTGCCCTGACACAGCAGCAGATTCGCCCCTCACACAAGAGATTCGCCCTGTCAGAGCATGTTTCGCCAGAAATCCCCTTGGTGCACGGTGCACAGTGATGGCGCGCCAAAACAATGAGTTTTCGGTTTCAGGGTAGACCCCGATACAACACTGACTCGTCAGTGTCCTCAAACACAAAACACTGGAAAATCAGAGTTCGAAATTTAAAAACACTGAAACATCAGGGTCGTTGAAAAAAAAAGGCTGATGCATCAGGGTCATGATAAAAAACGGGGGTCAAACTTCAGGAATTCAGGGTAAAATTCCTGACATCTGAGGCCCTGCTCCCAAACCCATCCTTATCGTTATCTTTTCAGATTTCCTAGTGCCACGTGGCACTCTACCTTTCTTGCTTCTACTTTCTAGTCCCACGAAGTACTTTCCGACATTCGACCTTGCATGCTATATCATCCTTGCTTGTATCCACCAATATCAATCAATTCTCATTCAACTCTTCAATTACTCAGTTACCTCTTCGCCTATTTCGCCAACACTCTCTTTCGCCAAAGTCTTCCGCCGCGTTTATCCTCAATTTAGTCAACCCCGCTATTCCTTAGCGGATTTAGGCCAAGGGGCCTAACAACTGTAAAGTAAACGTACACGCTGGACCCCCCCTGAGCAGCTAAGTGTTATGAGGGTGGGATGCTTAAGATGTGCTACTTCGGGAGCTCCACGTATTGTTAAAGTGTGATCTCCATCCAATAGTATGAAGCGCTTTGGTGCGCTGTTCCAATTGTGTGCGCCAGGCGACAGCTTACACGAGCCACGGCAGCGCTGGTGGGAAAGCCTGTCTCGACTGGCAGGCTGGCAGCCATTCAACGCGGACTGCAGCTGCTTTGCTCTTGTGACTTGGCCGAGCCTCGAGGCCAACCAATCGCCGTTCCTCATCACCTCATGTTACCTGTGTGCGATTTGTACGCATTAGGGACAACACAGCGTTCGCATCTCACGTATAGCTGAAGTACAGCCATCAAGAAGAAGCCTTGATGACCCCACACAAAACTTACCAAAAAATCTGTTGGGTTGACCACCACCTCTCCGCCCAGCTAGTGTGTTCGACTTAGCGTGTAGGTACCCAACAGCGATCACTGCTCGTGCTACACCTGCTTTACCGCGCGCCCCTCCACCCGTACCTTGGAGTTGGCCCCGCCTTGGGCTTATCGAGCCACGCCCGCTACACACGACCTCGTCTAGTGGGATTGCACCTCTCTCTTTCCTGCCCGCAAAGTTCGCATTCTTTCGCCAGGAGATTTCGTCGCGTGCCCACATGCAGCGGCTCGCTCCCCGCGCATGGCGTTGGACGGCGGCGTCAGCGTGCGCAACGATCGCATGGGGATGGCCGCAGGAGGTGGCAAGGCGGACGTGGCGAGCCACGAGGGCGGCGCGCAACAGGCGGCGAGCGGCAGCCCGTTAGAGGTGAGCGCGATGGCGCGGGCGTGGCGGCCCTGGGATGCGGCGTTGGCGGAGGAAGCGGCGATCGGCACGGTGGGCAACAGGCTCAGGCGCAGAATATCATCGACCCGCTTCCGATGCTCCCCGCTCCTTCTTTCCCTTCTCCGTATCGGTGCTATGTTGCGCGCGCGATGCTGCCTCTCTCTTAAATGATCCCTCTCTCCCCCTCCCTCTCTCTCACTCACTCGCTCACTCACTCACTCACACGCACGCACGCACACGCGCGCACGCACCAACACACGCACTCTCGCACGCGCGCGCACACACACACACAGAAACACAACAGACACACACGCACACACACACATACACACACACACACATACACATTCACACACACACACACACACACACACATACACACACACACACACACACTCACATACACACACACACGCGCGCGCGCGCTCGCGCACACACACACACAGACACACAAAAACAACGCTTTACTTCCCCCCTACCCCCCACCGCCCCCCCCGTTCCCCACCTTGTCGCCCTGACGAGCGCGCAGGGGCCGGTGTGGGTGGAGGCGAGGGCCAGCTGTGCGCACATACACGCCATCACCACGCTGGGCGACCTGCCCTCCACGCACGCGCTCTGCAAGCAGTATGCCTCCACCCACCCACGCTACCCGTCCCCTCGTCCTTCCTGCACGGCTCCAGCTCTTCCCCCCCTCCCCCCCACCCCTCATTCACTGTGCTCTGCTCCTCTCGTTGTCGTGCTTTTTCCGCGATTTGCTCGCTCCTCCATACATGTAGGATAGGGATGAGAGCAGGCTTACCACTGAAGGATAGAGTGCAAGGAAGGGGGCTTGCAGGATGAGTGTGGTGGCGGCAGCACACTGGGTAGTGGCAGTCACAGCACACTTTGCAAGCACACCCCACCACCCTACATCCCCACCACACACCCGCACCATGCAAGTCGCTGGTTTCCCCTGCCGCTGTGCCCCTTGGTGCACAGGTGCGGGTGTGCGGCGGACAACTGGGTGTGTCTGTCGTGTGGCGAGGTGGCGTGCGGGCGGTCAGAGGGCGCTCACATGGTGAAGCACTTCTACGCCACAGGCCACCCACTCGCTGCTGGCTTCAGGTGCACGCTCGCACATGCGCACCTGCATGGGGCTGACCTGCCCTGGACATGCGCTTGATTCGTCGTCACTTCTTGCATGCGCTCACTCTGCGCAATGCTGTTTCTGTCATCCCTCAACCCCACCTCTTACTCGTTTCTGGCAAACGCTTATCTATTCGCTCATCCTTCTCTCTCCTATCCACCCCCCCCTCATCCCCCACCACCCACCCCCCTCCCCTCCCCCGGTGCCCTGTAACGCATGTGGGGATGCAGGGATTCGTCGGTGTGGTGTTTCCAGTGCGACTCCTACCTGGACGCTTTAAGAATACCAACCCTTCGCCCTCTCTTCCACTCCCTCTATCGCTCCAAGTCTGGTCAATACTCCGATCTGTCCCTGCACTCGCACGCCCATTCACCCACCTCTGCCTCAGCCTCGGCCACAGCATCTCTAAGTTAGTCGCAGTACGTGGGCCTGTGCATAAAATCCTTGCCACTTCGGTGTCCTTGTTGGCTTCATCCGTGTGCTCGCTGCTGCCAGAAACATGTGCCGTGGACTTGGCTTGGGAAACAGCTCTTCAGTGTCAAATGTAATTCTATGCTTGTAGGCTACAGTGAGTAGCACAATAGGGAGTACAGTTGTTAGGGTTGCATATTTGTACTTCCACACTTCCTAGTTTGACCATTCCGTTGCATTCCTATTCTGAGATGGTATCACGAGTAGGTTAGATCCTCGTTCGGTCTTAGCTAGCCTCCGCGCCCTACGCGCCCTCCGTGCTCTCGCGCCCTCCGCGCCCTCCGCGCGCCTAGCCCGCGCCCTCCCGCGCTGTCAAGCCCGTCGCGCGCCCTCCTTAGACCACCGCGCGCCCTCTCCCACCGTTACGCGCCCTCCTAAACCGTCGCGCGCCCTCCTTCGACCGTCGCGCGCCCTCCTTAGACCGTCGCGCGCCCTCCTTAGACCGTCGCGCGCCCTCCTTAGACCGTCGCGCGCCCTCCTTAGACCGTCGCGTGCCCTTCCCTCCGCCTGTCGCGCGCCCTCCTCCGTAAATCTTCCTGCACACCTGCGTGCACTTACCGCACACCTGCGTGCGCTCACCGCACACCTGCGTCCGTGCACTTCCAGCACACCTGCGTGCACTTACCGCACACCTGCGTGCGCTCACCGCACACCTGCGTGCGTGCACTTACCGCACACCTGCGTGCCCTTACCGCCCACCTGCGTGCACTTACCGCATCCCTTTGTGCGCTTACTGCATCTCTCTCCCCTTCACCTGTGCCCTGGTCCCACGCCATTCCTACAGCACTTGACTCCCGGCTCAGCGGCTGGCAGCCGCTCTTCCCTCCGGTAGCGCCACCTAGGTTCGGTTAGAGCCCCGCCCCACGACTATTTTCTCGCCGACTGTCTCTCGTCGGTTTCCCCGCTGGCGTCCCTAGCCCGCCGTAGTTTTCCTCCTCGTTCTTAGCTCCGCCTCCGCCGTGCTCCAGTCACCACTAGCATGGGCTCCGCTATGGAGGCCCGTCGCCTCCATTTCGATGCTGAGGGACGCCCGATCGAGTTCGGTACCTGGCAGCGCCAGACCACACGTTTTCTCACCAGCCAGCGACAGGACGGCGCCACTCAGTGGGCTCACGCGTCTGGTGCCCTACAGGCCCCCCCGTCCCCCGCCGCCCTGCCGACCACCCCGGAGCCGACTCCTACGGCCCAGGCGGAGTACGACCGTCGGGTCCTGGCCAGGGACGTGTGGCTCTCGCGTGACGCTGCCGCCGCTCTCACACTGTCGGAGCTTCTCCCCCCGACTGAGGCCGCCCACTTTGACCTGGTGGAGACAGCCCAGGGGGTGTGGGATGCTATTGTTGCCCGCTACTCCACCCCCTCCTCTGCCTCCCTCAGTCGCCTCCTCATGCCGTTTGTGTTTCCCGACCTAGGCTCGTTTGCGACTGTTTCCGACCTAGTGACTCACCTCCGCTCGCTTGACGCCAGTTTCCGTGCTGCCTGTACCGACGCACAGCTCCTTGTTGCTCCCCCCCCCATGTGGCTCACTGTGCACTGGTTAGTCACCCGCCTCCCTGACCGCCTTGCCACTGCCCGCGACGCGCTTCTTCAAAAGCACCCCACTGAGCTCACTATAGACCTCCTTCAGACTGCTCTCGGGACCATCTAGAGCAGCCTCCTCGCCGTTGCCTCCGCCACTGATGCGGTGGCCCCCCGTCTCTTTGCGGGGTGTGCCGCCCCTCAACTTCCCACTTTCACCTCTACCCGCGCTTCTGCAGCTGTGTCGGTCTCTGAGGACACCGCTGCCGTTTCTGCAGCAGACTGGCAGAAACGGGGCAAGAGTGGCAAGAAGGGCGGGAAGGGGGGAGGTGGGGGCGGTGGAGGTGGCGGTGGAGGTGGCGGTGGAGGTGGGAGCAGCGGTGGTGGCGGAGGCGGCGGCGGCGGCGGCGGTGGTGCGCCAGGGGGAGGGGGCCTTGGAGGAGGTGCAGGACAGACAGGCCCACCCACAGATGGTGGCCCGACCGGTGGGGGCGTTGCCCCCCAGCAGCAGCAGCCACAGCAGCACCACCCACAGCAGGGACAGCAGCAGCAGCAGCAGGGACAGCAGCAGCAGCAGGCACCGCAGCAGTTCCAGCAGTGGGGTCCCCACTGTAGTGGGGTCCGCAGCAGCACTGGGGTCCCCCACCGCAGTGGGGTCCGGGAGGCCCTGGGAGCACCGGCCGCAGCAGCAGCTCTTCCAGCTGGGCCCCTCGCCCCCCTCGCCGTGACGCTGGCCCCTGCACCCACTGGTGCCTCACCGGGCCGGGCAGCCCCTGTCTCTGTGGTCGCGACGACCACTCTGCCGCGCGGTGCTTCCGCCGCCTCGACGACCTCTACCGGGCTCGTTGGGGCCCTCTGGCGGTCACGCCTCGCTGGTCTCGTCTGTTAGCCCGTAAGATTGATGTCTTTGATCTGTCCATGGACGATGCGCGTCAGCATGCTTCGTATGTTGATGCTGACTTTAGTGCTGATGGGTCTGTGTGCTCGCGTGTTCGTAGGTTAGCCTGCTTGCCTCCTGCTAGTGTAGCCTTGTGCCTGTCTAGCTTAGGTGCTTGTGTTGCTGCTCTAGGTGCTTGTGTAGCGACTGGGTTGGGTGACCCTCCGGCTGAGGCCTCTCTGTCGTTCACGCTGGACTCGGGCGCGTCTCAGTGCTTCTTCCGCGACCACACGACCCTTACGCCACTCCTCACCCCTGTGTCGGTGGCTCTGGCTGATCCTACCTCTGGACCAGCCGTTGCGCGTAGCTCCACCACCCTCCCGTGCCGTGTGGTCCCCTCTGGTGTCCTGCGCGGCCTCCACATCCCCTCGTTCACTCGGAACTTGGTGGGTGTTGGATACCTCCAGGACAGGGGGATCACGGTTACCTTCGTGGGGGTGGGCGGACTGCAGTCTGTACTGACGCTACCACAGGTGCTGTTCTGGCCACTTTCACCAGGGAGCCCCGTTCCGGTCTCTACGTTCTCCACACCGAGCGCTCCCCGGTCACGTCCTCCCCTCAGGTCGTTGCGTCCCCTCCGGCCCAGGTCCCCAGTCCAGTTGCTGTGTCTAGCCAGGTAGTCGTGTCCAGTCCGGTCGCTGTGTCCAGTCCAGTCGCTGCGTCTTGCTCCTGTCGCTCTCTCGCCCACCGCACAGTCCTGTGGCACCACCGCCTTGGCCACCCGTCGATCCCTCGCCTTCGTGGCATGCTCAGTCAGGGACTTGTCACAGGTCTCCCACGCACCTTCCCGTCGCTCCCTCCCTCGCTTGCCCCTCCTTGCTCTCCGTGCGTCGCCGGTCGCTTACGCGCCACTCCCCACTCCTCCTCCCTTCGTCCGGCCACCGCTCCCTTCGAGACTCTCCACTTGGACGTCTGGGGCCCTGCCCCGACGCAGGGGTCTGGGAGAGAGCGTTACTTTCTGGTGGTCGTCGACGACTACTCCAGGTACACCACAGTGTTCCCTCTTGCGAAGAAGTCCGAGGTGACTGCTACGCTGATCAGGTGGCTTCTAGCCACTGAGGGCACTCGTGGTCGTCGAGTCAGTTGTCTTCACTCCGACCGTGGGGGCGAGTTTCGCTCCGGCATTCTCGGCGGATTCTGCGGCGAACAGGGCATCACCCAGTCCTGGACGCTGCCAGAGTACCCACAGCAGAATGGGGTTGCTGAGCGCCGCATAGGCTTGGTCATGGACATCGCCCGGCTTGTAGGCTACAGTGAGTAGCACAATAGGGAGTACAGTTGTTAGGGTTGCATATTTGTACTTCCACACTTCCTAGTTTGACCATTCCGTTGCATTCCTATTCTGAGATTCAGCTTCATGCTGAAATCCCCCACTGTGTTTTTTTCCACCAGTAAACCGCTCTGATTATATGGAAATCAGAGTTCTATCTTAGGTAGGCATGGTTGGATAGTGATTTTGAGTTTTGTACTAAGAATATTAATGAAAACACACAGAAATCTAATATAGCAAAGAAAGCCTGTATTCCTTCGGATAGAGGACCTCTAGAGGTGGACCTGCGATTGTGACACGACTCTCAGAAGAGCGTGCAGTGTAGTCGTCATAGCAGTCGTCATAGCATTTCACAGCTCAAGGATACAGCACACTCGATAACAACGAATACATGTGGTGAACGAAATATTGATGCACAAGCGATCAACTACGAAGGGGAGTGGAGGGTAGGTAGGAGCAAGAGAAAGTGAAAGTTGCAAAAAAGACTAGGTGGCAGGTCCCTTGGACCTGCCTAAACGTACCGTATTACCCCGGATATAAGCGCACCTGCGCTAATAATAAACAGTGTTTTTTGAGGGGGTGCGCTTATAATTGAGTCAGATATATAAGTGCATGCGCTTGTATAAAGGAAAAAATGAAGTTCACTTCTAATAATACCAAAGTGAAGCTCTCAATAAGGCGAATTCAACCGACCATGCACCAAGTGGGATCGTGCATGGTTTTCAGGCAAAAACAGCTATGGTTCGCTTTCCCACCGCACAATATTGTCTGGAACCATCAAACGTGACAGCCGTGACGAGGATGTTGCCGTGCGGCCCAATCAGAGCCGCATGCGCTGCGTGGCATGTGCATTCGGGCAGAACCATCTCGAAGGGTGGGCAAGATTCCCTGCCAGTGCAGCGTATATGCTGCCACGCAGGCGCCTCTACGGGAGTAGGCAGGGGTTTCCTACCTGTCATCGACGAGGACCCCGAGTCGCCTCGCAACAGGGCTCCCCGTCGTTGCCCATTTCTGCACCCTCGTCTTCATTTTTTTCATTCAGTTTCCAGTCTAGCCCGCCTGGCAGGCGAAGCCATGGCGGAATTCAGTGGGACTCACATCCTCTTCAAGAAAAAACCACGCCGCACATGGCGACTTACCGAGGACGGGTGGTATACCCGTGAGCCACCAGCGCCTCCAGTGCCACCGGATCCCCCTGCACCCCCTGCTCCTCCTGCTCCT